TATGCACTAAAGGCTTAGAGGTGACTCATTCCTGGTAATATGATATATTAGACAGTTGGAATATTGTATGTATAACGCTATCATGATAATCATTCTCTAAATACTGACACTTTCATGTGGTAATTTAAAAATTAAAGCTCACATATTCTTGTTAATACTTCTAGAGCATATTTCGGATGAACGCCACATCTTTATGATCCAATTACAAGAAAATAGAAAAATTTTGTATTTAAATACAAATTGTATTTACTTGGGGAATCAKATACGACTCATTTAGGATACAGCTTCATGTAGTCTTGCTTAATAATGGCAAGAACAAACAAATTCTTGGTCTTCTAGTTGAAATATTCTTGCAATTATCTTCAAGATTCTAGAAGATTTAACMATGATATCAAATGAAAATCAATCTTTCACATCAATAATCATTTTCTATTTGTTTTATGAAGATTTTTTTTTAAATTTGACTATTCAAAATCTATAGTTTTCAATTGTGAACATTAGATTTAAATGTTAAACTCTTATATATACAGCTTCTAGATTCTTCTAGATTTTGATTACGATTATACAGTTACTTCTTTCAAGAAGCATCCTAAAAAAAYCTTGCTATTGGAAATACAATGAAATTACATTCAAAAGAACCTGTATTCATGAYTTTCATCTGTTTTCAAATAAACAGGAAAAATTCAATGAATGCTTAAACAAGAACTGAARGATGGCTTTTAAACAACTCTTTCTTCTGGGATCTTTGGTTTGATTTCTGGACTAAGGATAAAACATGAGTAGAGTTCATTAGTTTTCTTTCTTGATTTGAGGGTTTTTTCMAGGTTCTCCAGTTTTCCTCCCTATGCAAAACTTAAMATGCTAAATTCAAATTTTATATGTGAGTTACTGTAGCCATGCTCTGACTTAGATCAGCCCAGAGGTTGTTTCAGGGTTTAATCTGTGAGTTAGTCATGCCCTGACTTAGATCAGCCCAGAGGTTGTTTCAGGGTTTAATCTGTGAGTTAGTCATGCCCTGACTTAGATCAGCCCAGAGGTTGTTTCAG